GGAAATTCAGTCTTGCTTGAGTTTCTATTAGAGCCACATGTGAAAAATGTCTATTGTCTGGAAAAGGGGGCAGATAACATAGGACGACTTTTCTTTCTGCTCCTTTTCATTCATTTCTTGTATGAGGACACTGTTAATATCTTTTTTTTTATACTTTATGAATGAAATAAATAAATAGTTTCTTAGTTGGATCAGATTTGCCCAGGTCCAGATTGGTTCATTTGTGTCTTAACCACATTGTCAGAGCTCAGACGAGTGTGACCGCGGCTCCTCGTCTCGGTGCAATTATCCCAGAGTAAAGAGAGAGAGCCCCCGGTGGACGCGACGCTCCCCCGCGCCGTCCCCCGCGCCGTCCCCGCGCCGTCCCCGCGCCGTCCCCCGCGCCGTCCCCTCCTCATTAGCAGCACTAATGCGTTTGGTGGGACATAATCATAGAGTTATAATGTGACCCCAGACACGACTCATCCTCCACGACACTGTGGACACTCAGGCCGGCAACTATCGGAAGAGGAGGTAGAGCAGACAAAACTGTACTCAAAGTAAGAGTTATGTTACTTCACAATAGTATTACTCAAGTACTCAAGTAAAAGTAGCTTAAAGGTTGTATAGAGGATTTTTTAAGGGAAGAGAAATACAGCGACAGTCCTTTTTCAAATGTTGTGCGTGTGTGACACCACCTTCCTCCTCCACAGCTCCTTCAGTAGAAACACCTCCTCCTCCCGCCTCTTTACTCTAGAAATCACTCTTGTTTACAGCCGGTGCGCGTTCAAGAATTCCCGTTGAAGTGACCTGTCTAGAAATAAAATCCTTCGTCCGCTTCAGTCGCGCCGTCGCTGTAAGAAATCTCCAAGACTCACCTCAGTTTTGTTTTGCTCCTTTTTCCCTTCTCTTCACGACTTCAAAAACCGACTTTATTTTGCGGCGAACTGGTCGTGGATTCTCGTCCGCCGTCGCAACAAACTTTGTGCGAACTGCGAGGACGCTACAGATTAAAAAAGCCTCGAAGAACCGCCGCATAAACCACGTAATCCCCGCGCGCTGGCGAGTCAGCTACACTAGAAACGTAGGGAGTTTGATTGACGACTTAACAGCCAATAGAAAATGAGGGAGCCTCGTTTTGTATTGGCTGATGTTTATCTGGCCTCATTATGTCCACGGTTGATAGATTTTCATTCTTTTTTTTTTTGGTCATCATAATTACAAAACTGCTGCATCTCTGTAATGGTATTTTAAACTTTTACTGACAATTTGAAACAAAAAAAAAATCCTCCATACAACCTTTAAGGAGTAACTGTCAGGATGGGTTTATCATTTTAATGTAATGCAATTTAGAGGACAAAACAAACTAAATCAAAATACAAATCATTTAAAGCTTTAGTCACCACAACTTTTACTTAAGTAAGAGCTCTGCTACGTCAATAAAAATAAAAAAAGAAGAAAGAGAGAGAGAAACTTATTGATCCTGAGAAAAATTCAAGTTTTGTTCCTGTCAAGTGGCTCTGCGTCTCTTTGTGTCTCAGGTGAGTTTCGCAGGAGACACTGGTCAGGGAGGGTGAGCAGATCTGTGTCAGGGCAGTTCGAGGAGAGGAAGAGTCCTCTGAACAAAAGTGTCCCTCCTCTGTGTTCTGCAGCATCACCGCAGAAGCACAACAGGAAAGACCTCGTTCTCCCTGCGCTCCGTGTTTCACTTGGTCATGAAATGGTGGAAGATCTACCACATTTGCTGCCACATGAAGTGTAAAAGCCTGTAACGTCTCAAATGTCCACAGCCCAAGTGTTTAGAAAAAGGAGGGACTTGCAGCTGAAAGCCTCGAGATGATTGAGCAAACCACGCCGAAGTCCCTGCCTGCTTTTTTTTTCTTTTTAGCCAATCATGTTAAACTTTCACCACCAGTCTCTTGCTGTATGTTTTTGCTACTTATTTAGAATTTATTTTACCATTTATATTTTTGCTCTTTGTTATTATATTTTATTGTGATGTGTGAACTACTGGGTCCAAATAGTTTCACATGTGGATCAGTAAATTTTGTCTAAGTCTAAGTCTTACCCTGTCAAAATTACATGTCCAAGTAAAACCAAAACAAGTGTCATACTGGAGACAGAACATCTCCATAATGTCCAGTTCAGCTTTTTTTTTTTTTGCAATACAGATTTGAGCATTAAGCCACCGAATCCATCTTACAAACAAAGATGATCCTTTAGCTAGACTCTTGCACGGTCTCCATAGATACTGGAAAAAACAAACTGCTTATTTTACACAATCCAACAGTCTCTTACTTGTGTCCTTTGAACTTCTCTGTTGGGTAAAATCCCACCATGTTAAAACTGAGCTCAAAAAAACAAAATGTTCCAAAAACTGCTCAGTGTGTGAGTGTTAGGTTTATCTAAACATTGTAAACAAGAAGAAAGACAAGAGATTAATTCAGTTTTACTCGCGAGGAGAACGGGCAGAGAGTGGGCATCAAAACCAACAGTCTCCACACGTTCTGATGACTCAAGGCCGTTCTCCTCTTTTTATTTCATTAGGAGGCCCTAGTTACAGAACGATAATTCTCAAGGGGAAGGGGAAACAGCAAAGACATAATAAGAAACTGGTGCAGCTAAGCATAGTACAAACACATAAAACATGATTAACAATCAGGAGGTGCCTTAGGTCAGACACCATCATAACTCTGCATGTGTGACAGTGGGAGTTGGCTTCATGTGAGGAATCATCTGGAGGTTCACTAGAGCGACAGGACACTGCACACAGTTGTCAAACACACAGAGGTTATTCAACAAGTGACAAGTGATTGGTACATTATAAATCAAAGAATTGTAGTACATAAATGGTTAACTCATAGGCCTAGAATATCACACAAGTATTTAGCAAATATGGGATAATAAAATTATTCTGACAGTGAGCCAGGTGTCCACAAAAGCAGCAAACCACTCCAGACCCACGGGGAGTAAAAGTATCCAGACAATATTTTATACCAAGATTTGCGAAATGTATGAAACTGTGCTCTCGTTTGTGAGTGAAAACCACACACTTTTGTCTTTATTTAGGTCATTTTGGATCATTTTATTTATAGAGGATGTACACAATAACCTAATTTTGCATTTCTCTAAGGATATATTACATATTTTTTTGATATATCTTCCCCAACCTGCAGCTTTGGGCTCTGTGAGGACACACCAGAGCTTCATTAGCTGCAAATAAGACAAATATCCTCAAATTGTCCTCATTTATTCTCTGTGGGACAGTTACAGTTCTGCCAGTGCAGTTTATTCAGGCCACGGCTCCCACCTGCTCCTGTGTTTAAACACCGAGGGTTTGAGAACAGCACAGGAATGTGGTGCACGAATCAAACAGTAATGTGGTGCTGCGGCTGTGTGACGACTGTAACCAGGGCAGAGTGAACGCCGCTTTATAAATCCAGCACATTATTATTGGGCCCGGTCAAGCAGAAGTAAACAGCAAGGCCAAAAATTCAAGTTCACGAGCTACAACCACGGCAACAACGACATAGTGCGAAGAAGTTTATTGATAATGTACGAAGCGAGGCAGAGATGGCCGGGCTGAGACTCAGGGTGGGGGCTCCGTCTCAATCTGCAATTGGACCAGATGGAACCCCCCCCCCCCGTAGGCGTCTTATGACTGAAAGACAGAATAGGGGATGGGAGGATGGGGTCGAGGTCAAACTCGAGACAAACTGAGATGATGGGAAAGGCTGCTTCATATGGGCTTCTGGGAAATTAGAGGCGTGGTGGAGGTGAGTTGGTTCACTGGTGAGAGGAGAGGGCGGTCGGGGCGTGGTCCTGCTCCTGAATCTCACTTAATCATATTAACTACATTGAATGCATCTGATATAAAAATGTATTGAACAGATACATATGTACTCTAGTTTATGAAACTGTTGACCTTTTTTCTGTACCATTTTTGGTTCTAAAGTTCCATATGTTTTAAACAGACCATGTATGAAACATGGAACAAAAATTATTTCCCAAATTTCAAGACCCAAAAATCATGTAAATAAATGGATGTATTTCATCATATCTTGTGTTATTCCATCTTTGAACTGTTGATGAAGGGACATGATTTAAAAAAAAAAAAAAAAAGTATTTAAAATGATAAAAATTTGCTTGGAAGGACTGACATATTTTATAGAAATAGTTTCCTTTCATTTTGAAGTAATATTAAAGTATTCAGAAGAAAAAAGCGACAAATGATGTAAAATCCTGCACCTTCTACTTGTTTGAACAATTTTCCCTCCGTTACTTTTCCCTCTGTTACCATGAACTTTCTTAATAAAAAATCTCATGAGTCAAAAAGTCAGAGGTTTTTCAACCTAATCTTGTACCATATGGTAGAAAAACTATATGAAGCAAATATTCAAACCAGTTTGTTAAGGATATGTAAGTGAGAACCAAGAGTTATCACTGTTTGGATTTATTGCCCAAAAAGTGCTGCATATTTCATTCCCTCCGTTACCGACATGAGTTTTTAAATTTTTTTGTCAACAACTTGAAAGAATCTCACAGGTTTAACTTGACCCTGTTGGAGTGTAACTCTTTCCTACATTCTGATACTTTACTTATTTCAATAGTCCCTGAATGTCAAAAATCTGCCCCTGTTTCCCTCCGTTACCACTTGACCGAATCCTATTATAAAAGCAACACATTCTACAGGCCAAGAATATTTAATAATGTGATTTACAGCTAAAGTGAACAGTGTTAGATGCAGATTTGTGTTGGAGTGAGTTCTTGAGGCAGGAGTAGAAACATTTGTGGTTTTACCTTTTGAATATTTCATGGTAAAGTACGATATGATATAATGTGATCACCAGGGAAACTGACATCACCTTCAAGAAAACCACCGATCATCAAACCCACATCCTGTCACTGCTAACCACTCTGCCGCCCTAACCCCTCTCTTCTGTGTGTGTGTGTGTGTGTGTGTGTGTGTGTGTGTGTGTGTGTGTGTGTGTGTGTGTGTGTGTGTGTGTGTGTGTGTGCAGGTTTCGCGGTGAACCTCCATGTGATCCTGTCCAACCCTCGAGCTCAGTTTAAGCGCAGAGGGTCTCAGCCCGGGATGCAGGAGTCTGACTTCCTCCGACAGATCACCACAGTGTCCCAGCTGGAGCCCAAAGCACACAACTGTACCAGG